TATTGACTACATACGAAAATAGGAGAATATCAACGAAAAGGGGTTTGGTCACATTAACGGAGCTGTTATGCATATCATATGAATCACACATTAGCGTGGAACAGTCTTACTTTGAGCAGTGTAGAGGGATGAAGAAAAGTTTGAAGATGAATGGGCAGTCCACGTATTCTTTGTTCGAGCAGGAGGGAGACACAAAGCCAGCAGGTCCAGTCCAACTTTGATCCACGCATACGCACGCAGTCCGGAACGCGTTGTATGCGTAGTGTCCAGAGCCGGAAAGAGGCTGATGATGGGACAGTTCGTGATCTCCGACAGCAGTATCAGGGCTGTGCTCGCGGAGTGGAGAGGCCTCAGTGCGTTACAGGCGCGGGTCGTAGTAGAAGACACGTACTCGCGGAACGCAGAGGTCGATACAATAGTTTCAGGAAATCCAAGAGGTAGTACTGTGAATTGTGCGCGGCTTTATTGACTTCCAAAGGAGGTGCGTCCATGACGTCATCCCTGTGTGTCTCTCTGGACCAACATGTCCCAAGGCAAAACACATCACGCAGACACTCACAATCAGATGCAGGATTAATACCAACATTCATAACACATGTACAGGCGCACAACGCATTTACATTACTGATAACGATACACACGTGTAGGGCACAGTACAGGTTATCCGAATAATGACTTCACGGGTGATGGCTTTGTCCATCTCGGGTGTGATAGTGTTCAGTGTCCACTGGGGGGTGCCAGAACGCCGTGGGTGAGTCGTTGATTGTCCAGGGACAGGAATGTCCCGGGAGTGAGAGCAGAGTTGTTGTTACGCGCCCAGCTATGGGATTGCGCGCACTCCTCCCCTCACTCTAACCTTTTCTCTGTGCAGGTTAGGATTGGTTGAGTGTCTGCGCTGGGACTTTAAGAGGGGCGTCCCAGGCAGCACTCTCGCTCTCTCCAATTGCAGACACCTGGACCTGTCCACAGGGTCTGGGCCTGCACTCCACGCCGCCAGCCACGCCGCTCCACACTTTTACACTTGCACCATTTACACATAAGGTTATCACACTGATACTCATTCGCACACACGCACCCCAGCACATCCCAGACCATTTACACTGATTCCACATTATTGTTTAAATAAAACGGCCAGTGAGCCATCAAAAGTCTTTGCCGTGTTCTCCCTCCTTTTTGTTGCCTCCCCTTGAGCCAAGGGGAACGTAACAAGTGGGGGCCCGTCCGGGATCATCCGTGCGGTGACGTATACCCCCTAGACAAGTGGTTGATGTGTGACTTGTGCTAAACGGACTCGTGTATCACTGTGATCCACCCGCTCTTGTCCTTGTGTTATAGGACTCGTGGATCACTTGTGGTCCACCCGCTCTTGTCCGCTATTGTCCCATTAACCTGTGTTTTTTTTGTGTGAATGAACACTGCAGTGACGTCATCAGCGGTGTCATTCATTCAGGAGCGCGCCTGGAATGCAGCGGCGCGCATAACTATCCCATACACGGCTGCTCCGCATTTCGGGATACACAGGTGAGTGAGATTTGGGTGCATAAAGCACTTCTCCTCACAGGGTGTGGTCCCTCGCTTTGTGTTAAGGCAGTATTTTGGCTGGCTGGTGGAGAGAGCACACGCTTATGTGTGCGCTTCTTTGCATGCGTGGATTAAAAATAAAAAAAAATTGAGTTTAGTTTGGATGAGTTTTTGGCTCAGCCCACTCTTGAAAAACTTGATCAATGCAGAAAGGTGGATTTGATTGCTATTGCCACGAACTTTGCAGTGCATATTAATAAGCTCGATAAAAAAGAGATCATTAAATTAAAAGTGCACTGTGCCCTTGCTGAGGAGGGGATTCTCCCTCCCTTGGATCCTGCTACCAGCGCTGAGGTTTTTCCCAGCGTTGAGCTAAAGCCTGACCACGATGTGCGTGTACTGGAGTTACAGTTAGAAATGCGCAGGTTGGAGCTTAAGGATCAAGCACAACAGCGGGAATGGGAATTCAAAGAGCGTGAGCAACAACGTCAATTTGAGCTCCGCAAACTTGAATTAGAGGAGGCTAGACGCGACTCGGTGCGCGTGAGTATCGGCCCCTCAGGCAATAGAAATGATGATTTTGATGTTAATAAATGCATCCGTTTGATTCCACCATTTTCTGAAAAAGACATTGACAAGTATTTTATTTTGTTTGAGCGAGTGGCCCAAACATTAAAGTGGCCTAAGGAGATTTGGACCTTACTTTTACAGTGTGTACTCACTGGGAAGGCTCAAGAGGCGTACGCCTCTCTTTCTCCCGAGAAAAGCTTGGAGTATGAGAGCGTGAAGGCCGCTGTTTTCGAACTCGTACCTGAAGCGTATCGGCAGAAGTTCCGTAGATACAAAAAAGCTGAAGGACAGAGTTACGTTGAATTTGGGAGAGAAAAAATGGCCCTATTTGATCGCTGGTGTGCAGCACAAGATATTAACACTTTTGAGCAACTGCGTGATCTGGTCCTAATGGAGGAACTGAAAAGATGTGTTCCTGAGAAAATAGCAACCTATTTGAACGAACAAAAAGTGACCACATTAACCGCTGCTGGAATAATGGCAGACGAGTATGTTTTAACTCATCGGGAGAATTTTGATAAGGCCATCCCGTTGCAGCGTGGTTCAGCTGGGGATGGAAACGCGGTGGAACAGGGCAGGGCAAAAGGCCATTTTGACAAAGATATTTTTTTGTTCGTATTGTAAAAAGCGTAATCATACCGTTGATAATTGTTTCAAACTTAATAAGAGGAAACCTAAAGGCGTGGCTTTAGTGGATTCCTTACTTACATCGCGCGCACATGAGACAGACTGGACAGATCTGAAAGTGTACTCTCCTTTTCTTATGAAGGGTTTTGTGTCTTTGTCTAAAGATAATGTGAAAGTCCCTGTGACTATGTTAAGAGACACTGCGGCGTCCAGATCAATTATTAAGCAAAATGTGTTGCCGTTGTCTAGTGAAACTTCACTGAAATGTAATGAGCTGGTGCAAGGTTTTGGTATGAAACGTATGAATTTGCCCATGCATTCCATACTGCTCAAATCGGATTTAATTTCTGGTCCGGTTGCGGTGGCTTTGTGCGCCACCTTCCCAATTAAAGGAGTTGATTTTCTGTTGGGAAATGACCTAGCTGGGGGGAGAATATTGGTTAATCCCAAAGTGACTGCCGTGCCCCTTGTTTCTGATGGTCCTGATGAGCTGGAAGTAAAGTTTCCCTCTGTGTTCCCCGTGTGCGCTATTACGCGCGCTATGGCAAAAAAGGCTATTTTACATGTTTCTGATAGTGACTTGGAGAACAGCTTTATGAATGATGATGCTTTAGAGCATAAGCTGTCCGAGAACATTAGTCCTTCTGCATGTTTGACTTCAGAACTTGCGCCAGCCGTGCAAAGTGCTGCGCCGAGCCCAGTAAAAGTCGAAAAGTCAAGGGTTGATTTTACACATATGTCCAGAGAGAACTTAATTGCAGAGCAGAAAAGTGACCAGTCTCTTGTTTCCTTAATTGACACATCTGTTACAGAGGATGAGATTGGTGACCTGTCTTGTGGCTATTATTTTAGGAATGGTGTATTGTTGCAAAAGTGGACCCCGCCTTACGCGTCGAAAGATGATGACTGGGGCGTCATCACGCAGGTAGTGGTTCCCTCCAAATTTCGCTCGGAGGTTCTTAGACTGGCTCACGAAAATCCGTTAGCTGGTCACTTGGGGATTAAAAAAACTTACAACCGTGTCTTGCGTCAGTTTTTTTGGCATGGATTAAAGAAGGATATTAAAATGTACTGTAAAACATGTCATACATGTCAGGTGGCAGGGAAGTCAAAACCTCCCATCCCACCCTATCCTTTACATCCTATACCAGCTATTGGTTCACCTTTTGATCATGTTTTTGTTGATTGCGTTGGCCCTTTGCCCCGTACAAAATCGGGTAATCAATACTTGTTAACCATTATGTGCGCAGCTACACTGTAAAGCTTGATTGGTAACCCTTACTCAAAAAAAGTGTGGACACTAATTGCACATGATTTTATTGAGTAACCGTTATCAACAATTAGATCAGGTAAGGTCTGCATGAGATAATGTATTAAGCTTTACTCTTGACCAGGTAAAGTTTACTAACAATAAATGATGAAACTTTACTCCAGTGCGAATTAAAGTTTACCAATATAAATTAGTAAAACATAACTCATCGTTAGTGTGTAAAGTCTACTTACATTATTTATGAAACCCTACTTTTTGCCAAGTATACTTTACTAATTTAGGTTATTAAAATTGTACCCTTCCACATTTGTTAAAGGTTACTTTGAATTATTTATTAAGAGCTACTGTCGCCTTGTACCATATCTCAGTCGTTTTTATCAAGTAAGGTTTACCTTGTATGAATAATGCAACCTTTATCTTTACATGCTAACATGGATTTTAATATTACACCTTATAACCTGGTTAATGAAACTTCTAATAATCCATTATTGTACAAGACCCATCTGTATGCAATAAAACAATTTTGAGACCAGAACAACATTTATTTTTTTTGCAAGTGTCAAAAGCACTTTCACAACCCTCTACAAATGTATAAAACTAGTGTTTGTTTAAATGATGCATTGCCAAGTTTAATAAAATATACTTCTCGTATAATTCAGTAAAAGAGAAATCCTGAAATAGTCTTATTGAAATCAGGACGATAACTTAAACATAAAATGAAACGGCCAAGAACATAAAAACAAGCCAAAAAATGCCAAAAGGTAGTTCAGACTCAACAGTTTTGGTGGTAGTTTGCTTTCTGCTCTCTGTATCACTGTACAGAGACCACAGCAGTGAGAAGGCACAGGTCCTGGTACCTGTGCCTTCTCACTGTGGTAAGGCGCATTCCCAGCTCCCACACGCAAAAGCCGCATCACATGACCAAAATTATCACTAACAAATCAGGGCAATAACTTGAAGTACCTGTAAAACATCAAATTGAATGGCTAAGAACACAAAGACAGCCAACAAATTATGCCAAAAGGTAGTTCTTCAGAGTCAGGAGTTTTGGTGGCAGAGTTTGTTTTCCCAGTCCCAGCATCACAGACTGGATGCACCTGAACGTGTTGAGCATCGATCTTGGGTAGTCCAAATGTAAGGCGTACGTCAGAGCAAACAGAAGGCAAAAAGCCTGGGGAACATCACTGATGTTGTTCATGACGATGTTGCCCTCGATGACAATAGCGATCATTTTACTTGTTTGGTGGAAGGTCTCAGCACTTGAAGGGTGTAGGAAGTCTTCATCAACTGTGAGCACACCCATCAGAAGCGCCGCTGTGGTCTCATCCATCAAAGCTTTCTGAGGGGGATAAAATACAATATATAAGTTTTGTTCCATCTTAGTTATTCAGAAAATCTATTTTTGCTTTGCTGCAACCAATTTCTGTATTCAATACAAATCCCATAATCCATAGCAGCTTTGGGGGAGAGCTGTAAAGCATGTGTGTCCTGATGAGAAGGTTGACAGGAAAATCCTAGCAAAGTTTGAAACTACAAGAGTTGCTTAAAGAGCGCCTTAACACCTAATCAACTTTTTATAACTCAAACTTAATAAATATGTTTATTGTAGCGTTTTCCACGTATCCCGGTCATTTTATTGCAAATTAGATAAAATCTCACTTTTGAGCCAAAAATGTGACGCCCTCTCAACCTTTTTGGCTTATTTGAATTAGGTCCTGGCCTCCAATACTGTGTGACCTCAGTGTGTGTGTGTGTGACACAGTGATATAAACCCCTTCAACTCTCACACGTCCCAGCAGCAGGTGGGATTATTCTGGTGACATCTAGTGGATTAAAATAGTACTAGAATTGAATATGCTGCTATCCAGAATATATAACTACTATATGTGTTTGTAATATTGTTCATTTTGACATGTTCAGATTAATTGTGTTTAAAAAACGGCTTTGAAACGCCAGGGGGAGCCAAAATAGCAGCGATGACGTAGGAGAAGGACATCTCACAGCAGCAGCAGCAGTCTGGGCTGAATCTGTAGGAGGTTTCACTGTCATCTGAACAAGGCATAAACATATTTTCATCAGTTTGTACATAATAGTGTGCAACTCTTTTAACCTTTTACCTTATATGTGAGATTCAAGCAAACTAGTGTTGGCCAAGTTAGCTAACTCTACTTGATATCATAAAACATGCTAACAAGGCTAATATTCGTTTTTACATTATGCCAGTCTCACTTTGGTTGCCTTAGATTTATTTACCACAATGTACATTGTAATATTCAAAAATGCTAACACCTATTAACGGTTTAATTAGCATTTTTATCAATGATTGTATCACATGTAGTCTATGTTTTCAACTTCTGCAGCTTTTTGTTCATAAAAGTCAAATATTTATTTCAAGTTATTTTGATAAGCATTTTTGGATATTACAATGCACATTGTGGTAAATAAATCTAAGGCAACCAAAGTGAGACTGGCATAATGTAAAAACTAATATTAGCCTTGTTAGCATGTTTTATGATATCAAGTAGAGTTAGCTAACTTGCCCAACACTAATTAGCTTGAATCTCACATATAAGGCTAAAAGGTTAAAAAAGTTGTGCACTATTATGTACAAAACGGATGAAAATATGTTTATACCTTGTTCAGATGACAGTGAAACCTCCTACAGATTCAGCCCAGACTGCTGCTGCTGCTGTGAGAGGTCCTTCTCCTACGTCAGGCATGTCAAAGTCAAATACATCAGAGGGCCAAAAAAACAAATTGGCTGCGAGCCGAGGGCCGGACTGGTTCAATGTTTATTAACTCATTGCCTGCCAGCCTATTTCAGAACAGGTACTCCCATATTGCCAGCAGTTTGATGATTTTTATAGATATTTCAAGACCCACAGAATATTGTGTACTATGACTATCTGAAATCTGAAACCAGATTCTGAAAGAATAGACTGTCTACTTTCATCAGCAAAAATAATTTTGTTTCTAGCTTGTAATCCCCAGTTGAGTAGAGGGAAGTTTTACTGAAATCACCAAAAAGCTGAGAAAAAAGAGGCACAAGAAGTGCATCTAGCTGTTTTCAAACCATTCAGAGAACACTACTGCCACCTGCTGGCTCGATTCAATATGCTCTCAAGCTTATCCCCAAACATATTAGATATAATAGACATCTGGGAACATGAAAATAGCGGAAAACGCAATTGACGTAATAGTACGTCAATGGCAGGCAACGGGCCATGTAAAATTCATTCGCGGGCCGGATTTGGCCCGCGGGCCTTGACTTTGACACATGTGTCCTACGTCATCGCCGCCATTTTGGTTCCCCCTAGCGTTTGTGAAAAGGTGCCACTTCAAAGTCGTTTTTAAAACATAATTCATCTGAACATGTCAAAATGAACACCCGAAATATTATAAACACATATTGTAGTTATATATTCTGGATAGCAGCACATTAAATTCTAGTACTACTTTAAATTTCATCAGCCAACAGCCACAATATGCTGAGAATTCAGTGTCTTAACCCTTTAAGCGCCAAAGTCGCAATATTGCGACAAGCAACATTGCTCACTTTAACAGGCTGTATGTAAAAATGTGGTACAGAATCTTGTTAATACTTTTCACCAGGGGTTAGTGGACATGTGTGCCTGTAATATGAGCAGCATTTGTGGGTGTGGTTATATTGAAAGTTTTTGAGTAAATTGAGTTTGTAAAACACCTGCGGCGCAGCAGCGCGGAGGCGAAGCAGCAGCGGTAGAGCTGAGAGGAGCGAGAGCAGAGCAGAGGGAGAGAGGGTTTTTTACTTTACTCACAAGGTCTTCAGTACCAGAGAAGTACTTGGTCTGGTACTGGCTCACTCAGATTCAGAGGAGGAAGACACGCAGGTGTCCAGTGAAGCAGACACGGACATTATTGGTGACGGGGAGACCGCGCTCCATAGTCCACAATCAGCCCCTGTGCAGCGGCTGCTTGTCCTCCGTGTGGCCGCGGTAGAAGCATTCTGTGAACGCCAAGCAGGGGCCGTGGTGGAGGGGACAGGGGCATCATAACACCGGGCATGTGGGAGAAAGTAGCGGGGGTAGACATCCACGGGGAACACGGGAAACGCGGGAGAAGTCGCGGGAGAGCCGCGGGGAAAAAAACACATCGCTAATCGCGTTCACTGCCTTTACCAACAGTGATGATGAGGATGAAGGCAGTTCTTGAGAGAAAATAATCCACAAAAGTGGATTAGAAGTGTTGAAGAGCCTGTTGTATGTTGTTGAGACGATCTGACATGTTCTGAGCCCATTCATTTCATCTCTCTGTTTGTAAACGGTAAATCCTTGAGCCTCATTTCCACTGAGAAAAATAGTAAGCTCACCACTTCTTTGAAAGGGAAATATTGAAACCAATCTCAAGATTTCATGACTGTAAACTATAAAGAGTGCTGTCTTGATCACTGAAGGTCTTTGAAAATAATACAATTCCATATGGCCGCGAACCAGTGCTAAAACATTATCTATAATCTGGATCAGGGAATTTATTTCTATCCCAAATTCATTTTATACTAAAGATATTTCACATTGACTGTTTATAGTATTCCCTGATCTCAAATAACTCCCAAGCTACAGCTTTTTGAAGTCTTTATACAATAATTAACATTTTCCAAAATGGCCGCCACCTTGATGACGTCACAATATGCAAATTAGATGACGAATCAACTTCCATCCCAAAGTTTGGTTCAAACTGAAGATATTTCTAATTTACAGTATGCCTTTATCTCAAACCATTTTAAAGTTATAGCCTTTTGAAATCTTGAAATCAAAATTGTATATTTTCTTGAAAAAACTCTGGCGCCTAAAGGGTTAAGATTCAGGTGTGTAGCTCTACAATAATCTTAGTGTGTAAACAAGGGTAGAATAAGACTTTCTGGTGAGTTAACTTTTTTTAAGCAGCAATGACAACTGTCTTGTGTGACTGGTGAGCTGTCAATCACAGCCCAGACCACGCCCAACTCTCAGCCCCCTTCATGTCCCTTGGTCCTCCAGGGAACACCCTGTTTAGAGAACATTTTCAAATGTTCATGTGGGCAGAGTGAGGCTGGGCACAGGTGTTTAGTCACTCTTTAGAAAGTACTGTGTAGTTTTTTTTGCTCTATTAATATAGGACAGTCGCCATCTGCTGGATATCCAAGGAAACTGGACACTCACCAAAATGAACAACTTATCAAAAACACAGTAACATTTATTAAGCTTGTATTTTTGTAGAGTTTAAACTTCTCTGCAGATTTATGGTTGCTAATATTAAGCTTTTCCATAGCAGTTTTAAAATTGTGTCCATGAGATTGATAGTAGACAACCCCCCAGCTCGTAATGCATTATTGTATAGCGCAAGTAGCGAATGACAAGACGAGAGTACAGAGATGAGACAGAGACGAGAGATCGGCCAATACACTTGATTGAAACAGGCACCTACCGAACTTGTCTTGAAGAACTCGCTGGGGTCATCTCCAAGAATAATTGCCAAGCCATCGATGATGACGCGTCGTTGCTCAGTTACATCATTGGCCTAAATTTAGGACATGGATTATGTCTTGTACAACAGTGCAGTATATGTCAGAGGTTGCTTAAAAATAAATCACTTACGAGATTCTGCCTTTGCAATAGTTTTGCTATTTTCTGTCCAACAACACCTTTTTTTGTTTGGAACATTTCCATCAGTCTTGCAGCATGTCGGTCCAAAGAATCAAAAAAGTCCAGTTCAATATTTTTGCTAGCTATTCTAGCAAACTCAGAGTAGACCTATAAAACACAAAATAATAATTGGAAGTCAATTAAAAAAACATGAGACACGTGGCATACATTCAATTTACCTGTCTTTCAGTGAAGAGTGCTGGCCATCTTTCAAGCAGGTCTTTGACTGGGGGTTCAGTCTTGATGATTTCCTGTCTACGAATAGAAAAAGTCTGTTCCATCATTGTAGTGATGAGATTGTGATCGTGGTTTCTTTTTGACATTTCTCTGACAATGGATAATCTTGTAGTTTCCATGCTTTGCAAATTCTCTCCATCAGGCAAATTGGGCAAAAAGTTAGCTTCGCCTCTTCTGGGGCGTTTGATATTTTTGCTGGACGCTTCCCCTTCTGGGTTGGTTTTGCTTTTCCGTCCTCCGTTTACTGTCACATCCTCAAACCCTACTTCCCTCAGCTTTCTTCGTTGATAACTCATCCTATATTTCAGTTTTGTTTTCCAATTCAGCCATCCAGGAGGCGAGGGTTCTGTTAAGCATGGATGCTTACTTATGAGCGCTTTAGCCACACTTTCAAAGTGCTCATCTTCAGGGTATGCCTTAAAAGTGTACATTTCTTCAGTCAATCGTTCTAATATGTTATGCTTCAGATCCCATGTTAGTGTCATGCGGGTTTCATCTTTGAGATACTGAAGGTCTCCTTGTCTCAATCTGTATGCAACATCTATGGAGAAGTTGGGTATGTCAAAAAAATCAGGCCACACCTCTCTCTCAATGATGAACCTGAAGATGATGAGGAAGGACTTGACAGAATCAGCGTGTCTGTTGAGCTTGATTCACTGCATAAACTTGCTGAGGTTGGGGAGGAAACTGTTGTAAGCGTGAGACAAACCAAGGGGATTATTTTTAGGGTGGCTTTGTTTTGAGGCAAGTCGTTAATGGTATCCAGATTGCAAAGAGCACTAAAGTCTGTATCCTCATACTGCAACTTGAAATTGTAGTCAAGTTTCAGCTTCTCTTGTAGTTGTGCGATTAATCCATCAAGAGTTGAGGGTCTGTCTTTTAGTATGATTTTCCTGGGGATTATATTTATATCAGAATTAACATGCATCATCATGGAGTAGACGTGATCCAACTGGCTTAACCCATTAGGTTCCAAAGTAGCATAATTGATACATGAGCTCCTAAATCCAGGACACTTTCTAAACCCCACCCAGGCTTCCCACAAACATTTTAATACATTTTTCTAACAGTTTGTTATATGCATATTGATCTAGTAGTCCTCCATTTATTACCAAGTTTCAGATCTCCATTTTGTTCCAATCATTTTCAGAAAATTATGGCCTAAAGGGTTAATCATATTTGACTTGTTTCAATTAATGGATTGGAGTTTTCTAAAACGGATTAGCATGATAAACAAACGTTAGTCACTGGCCACATTAACCCTTTTGGCGCCAGAGTTTTCAGAAATGTTATGTGAAAGAAAAGTTGTGAGCTTTGAAACTTTTTAAAAGACTGCAAAAGATCAATTTTAAAATGAACGCATTATAAACACTATTTTCATTAGTCTCTGTAGATAAATAACATACACCCCCCCCCCCCCCCCCCCCCCCCCCCCCTACCATGGCTAGTGTCTTTTAAATGCACCCCAGTAGGAAACGAAATAACAAAAACAAACACACACAACCTGGCAGGTCTGAATGAGTGAATTATTATTGTAATATTGTTGAATCTTTTTTTGTATGGAATGTTGATGTATCAGTCTGTTTTGTTGTCTTTAATAAAAAAATGAAAAAAAGAAATGAACCCATAAAATATGCACAAAAACTTGAAATGTAGGAAGTGGGAAGCCAGGTTGCTGTATAGAAAGTGTCCTGATTCACAAGCTCACATAGCAATTCTACTACTTTGGCACCTAAATAGTTCAGTTTGGTTCAAGGTGCACTCTGATTAATATTAGAGATGGCATTTTGTTAAATGCCATCTTTGTTAAATGAGACTCAAGTCAGATTCAATCAGTACATGTTAATACCTTATATCCTCACTGTTGATGATGACTCGCAGCGTCACTTCCATAGCCATAGTATATATCCTGGCAAGAAGGGGAAAAAAAAAAATACTATTTGCATAATATGAAATACTTCAGTGTGATGTAGGCTCTTCCTCGAACTGTATACAGAGAGAGCGGAAATATGTCATTAATTTCGCTAAAATCTGTCACGGTCAGCTCTGGCAATCTGCTCTGACAAAGCTCGTATGCCCGAAGATGCTCATCATACCATGATGTGGTGTTTCGGCAGAGAAAGACTAAATCTGTGTTTATGACCAAAATCTTATGAATTTGTCGAAAATCTGGCAGTCCAGAACAAGATCCTACAGAAACAATCATGTTAGGTGCATAATTGATGCCATCAACAGATGCTGTGGAAGCTACAAGGACTGTATGTTGCAGAGAAAATCTTTGTTGTAGTGTTTGTTGCACACAATCAGGAAAAGTAGTAAGCAGCACAGATTTCACCTTGTCAACTTCAAAAGCAGGGCGAAAAAATGCATTACTTGCCAAATGAAAGGCAATCATCTCCTGATGTTTCCGAGTCAAAGTCAATGCTAAGTTTTTGAAGTTCTGAGCATAGCGCACATTCTTCTTGAAAAATTTGTGCTTTCCCTCGAACCGCATGGTCCACACCTCAGACAATGGCCCAAAGGTTCTGATCAAGTCTGGATAATGCTCAATATAATGATGTTTGGGTTTAAGCTTTTGTGATGGAAAAACTTGCTTGAACAATTCTCTGTGGTCAGCAATCTTGCCGTCAAGGTACTGCAATGACTCCTCTGTGAATGCCTTAGAAACTGCCAATTCTACTATATCTTTCAAGATAAGTAAAACCTCCCAAGTTGTGTCCTTTTCTGGAATATAGTGGCCTATCAGGAATGGCAAGAATCTAAGAAGAGTCCAATTCTCATGCCCATTACCTCCTATGGTGTTGTTTGAGAAGCAATTCTTTCTTATGCATTGAGGTCTGTTGGTCTTGTCAGAAAAGGCATATGGAAACTCTGAGATGGCCACATTTAGCTGTTCCAGAGAAAAGTATCCCTTTGCAATGAGGCTCTTGAGACACAAAGCAATTTCTAGAGGCACTACACCTTCCAAAAGGTCATGCAAAATGTCTGGGGGATATCCATCAATAACATGAAAGTTAGACAGATGATCTGATAGAGGACAGCTTCTTTTGACACCATATATTTGGGCCTTTGTGGGATCCTGCCTTATTTCTTGTACTTGTCTGTCATGATTATCTTTTGACCTTCTTTCAAAAGATCCGGTTCTCACATCTTTGACTTGTATTTCCTCCTTCTTTGCCATACAGAACCTACAGAGTTGATCAACTGTAAAACTTTCAAAGAAACCACCTAAAGAATGTGCTGCCAGGTTGTCTGCAGCTACAAATAGCACAGTTCCTCGAACACTGATACCCAACTGATCAACGTAAACTCCATGTTGTTCAAGGAAAACCAGGTCTTGAATCAGTGGTGCCAGAATTTTACTGTAGCCGTATTGTTTGATCTTGCTGGACTTGCAAAGCAATGCAAGTTGGATTGAATGCAAAGAAGAGCGAAATTTTGGGTGAATGTTGCAAAGTGTCCAGTAAAATGCGCATAGTTTGTGCTTATTTCTGGAGGTTCCTAGAGGGTTAGCTACTTCAAAATCATCCAGATACAAGCAAAGGGCAATGCAAAAAGGATCGTTGCTTAGGAGTGAGTTTCGTTTGAAGCGCCAACCATCCCTGTAAGACTGAAAGTCCTTTGATTCATCTGGTCCTTCTGACATGGCCTCCTTCAAAATGTCCTTATTGCTCAGCAGGGTCTGTAACATTTCAAGAATTGGGACATAGACAATAGTCTGATTATTTTGTAGAATGTATTCTACAGGCTTTACAACAGGGAACTCTTCAGATATGAAAGATTTTCTTTTTTTGGTTGTTGACAGTGATCCTCCAGTTGAAGTCAACCTTAAGAACATGTTGTTTTTCTTCAAAGCCGTCATTACGTTATCCATTATAGAAGGGTCAATATTGGCACAATGCTCAGTTATAACATTTTGTAAGGCTGAATGTAACAATGGCTGGGACAACATATGGAACTGGTTTATCTGTTCAACAACTTCTTGTATGGCACTTTCAGAAATAGAAAAAATGGAAGACATCTTGAGAAAAAGCGCAGCCAAGTTATGCTCCAACTGCCTCTCTAGTTCTTTAACATTGCTAGACTCAACAGTTAAATCACAGTCCGTCTCACTTAATTCAGCCTCAGAATTGAAGAGATCAGGTGAATCTGAGGATTGTTCTTCAAGGATTTTTTCTTCAGACACTATTTCAGGCTTAAATGAAGGTTTACTTTGCAGGGGATGCAGTCGGCTTCTGTGACAGTTAAAAGTTGAAGAAACATTACTCTCAAAAGCACATCCTTGATATGGACACACTACTTTCTGTTTCAACTTTATATGTCCACGCAAATGAGTAAAAAAGTCTTTTTCAGAACAAGGTTCACCAAAGTCACACAACTGGCAGTGAAACACACAAATACTAATTTTCTTTTTTTCTTGGTGACATCTAGATAGATGCAGTTTGAGTGCATTGAAGGTTTTAAATGTACAAGGACATGCGGTATGTAGACATGGTATTTGTGGCAATCGAGTGAAGGTCCCATGTTTTAAACGGAAATGCTTTAGTAAGTAACCTCTTTTTTGAGCCACAAAATTGCAACACTTACAGGGCCACTGCATCAGAATGCCAGTCAGTGTGCCTATGAAAAAAGAAAAAAAGGTTAGTCAAAATGGTTTGCTTCAAACTATACACATACATAATTATTAATCAATCCAAATAAGTGACTAAGTGTACACCAGTGTTCCAACCTTTTTGAAACTATCATTTAAAAACTAATTTAAAACTATCTCATGGCACACCACCAGCTGAAGCTGATACAAACTGTTACTCTGCACCCTTTATTAACAAAACAAAGTAATTCTCAGTGTATGATATGGAAAATCAGAAGTGCAAAGGCACATTGAATAACATCTCATGGCACACTTAACATTCCCTGGCACACTGGTTGAAAAACACAACTATAGACAACGGATGAGTAAAAACATTATAATTATATTGTTAAACAAGATGTCTGTATGCAAACGTTTGTCTGTTATGTTACTACGGGCCCGCGCACACCTCCCCTGCATGTCTACTGTGATGCGGGAGCCACGCACCTCACAATGGATCCTCCCACTCCCGCGCACACCTCCCCTGCATGTCTCCTGTTATGCGGGAGCCACGCTCCTCATAGTGGATGCTCCCACTCCCGCGCACACCTCCCCTGCATGTCTCCTGTGATGCGGGAGCCAAGCACCTCACAATGGATCCTCCCACTCCCGCGCACACCTCCCCTGCATGTCTCCGGTGCTACGAAGAGCGTGGCCCCCGCAGCACCGCTGACTGCAGCGGAGGATATTACTATGGGCCCGCGCACATGTCCGCTGAGGTCTCCGGTGATGTTTGGGCCACGCTCCTCGTAGCAACGGAGGTGGCCCCAGCCTCACCAGAGCCCGCGCTGGAGGTTTGCGCCGGCCTTGTGGGAACGCTGGTGGCCCCTGCGTTCCCACAAGCCCGCGCAAACCAAGAACCCCGAGCTCCTTGCAGTCAGCGGTGCTGCAGGGAGCAAAGCCCCTGTATCACCGGAGACCACAGCAGTGGAGGTGCATTTGGCCATACTTAAAAATGCTTTTCAAACTCATATTACACGGCGAATTACACGCGTTTTCTCCACTAGTCTTACTTTACAACAGCACTTAACACAATTCAACAAATGCATATCACCTGAAGAGTGAAAATAATTGATTAAAACAAAAAACCGAATACTTACTTACCTGCAAAGGAGATTACGACCTCACACCCAAGTGCTCTGTTGCATGTGCGCGGTGCATAAGATGGCGCCAGGCAGGAAGTGACTCTAGCCATGAGGTGAAAAACTGAACTGCGCATGTCGTAAAAGCTTACTCAAGTAATACCTGCACCCATTTGTTTATTAATTTAAGTAAAGTACTGACTTTACAGACACCTTTCAAGTATTGTCTGACACAGAAATACCACAGACGATACACACCAACACTTATGAAATGAAACTCAACTATGTCATTTAAAAGTTTGATTTTGACATGAATTGTAAAGGTTACCAATTGTGTGTGGGTGAACTGTGAACTTGGAGAAAAATCAAGTTAAATATGATCAATCATTTTAGGTAAGGCTGATATTTGGGTTTACAGTGTACACGCTTTCCTGAGGCTATTCCCATGCGCAAGATAACTGCGCCGGCTGTGGTGAAGGCACTTGTGAAGTTTTTTTCATTGTTTGGCCTCCCTAAAATTATTCAAACAGACCGAGGAACTAACTTTATGTCTCGTGTTTTTGCTCAGGTGGCGAAGGAGTTGGAAATCACTCACTCATTCTCTAGCGCTTATCATCCGGAAAGCCAGGGTGCGCTCGAGCGTTTTCACCAGACTCTGAAAGCTATGCTTCGTGCGTACTGTCTCGAGTTTGAGAAGGAGTGGGATGATGGTGTGCACCTGTTGCTTTTTGCTGCGCGTGAGGTAGTGCAGGAGTCAACAGGATTTAGTCCTGCTGACCTTGTTTTTGCTCATAATGTTAGAGGCCCTCTAAAATTACTTCATGAGAATTGGATGAGTGACTCGCACACTCGTAACATCTTGGATTATGTTAGTTCTTTTCGCTATAAACTGTATAGAGCTTGTGAGTTAGCTAAACAAAATCTTTCTGTTGCACAGTCCAGAATGAAGGGCTGGTTTGACAAGAAAGCTAAAGTTCGACAGTTTAGTCCTGGCGATAAGGTGCTTGTCTTTTTGCCACTTCCTGGTTCGAGTCTCCAGGCACGTTTTAGTGGTCCATATTTTGTTCGTAAGAAAGTGACTGAGAGAGACTACATAGTAGCCACTCCTGATCGTGCTCGTGGTAGCAGGCTCTGTCATGTCAACATGCTTAAGCCATATTTTGAGCGTGAGCATGTGGACATGGCCTCTTCTGATGGGGAGGCGGTTCTCGCAGTGTTCCCTGCTCACTGTGATGACTCTTTGAATCTGTCCAGTTCTGTACAGGAGTCTGACCTGGGGTTGCTGTCCGGTGCTGACGCCGAGGAACTGGCCAGTCCTGAAATTGACTGTGACATTGAGGGTCCCTCGGCTGCTGCGCTTCATGGCCGGTTGCAAAATTCTCAGATTCTTTTGAATCTTGATCGTAGTTTTGTGCATTTAACTGATAGTCAGCGCGCTGACATAGTGACCCTTATTAATTCTCATTTATCACTGTTTTCAGATGTGCCGTCCCGAACCCATGTTTTGCAACATGACATTGATGTTGGCGACCACAGACCTATTAAACAACATCCGTACCGCGTCAATCCGGAGAAGCGAGAGCGTCTGCAGTCTCAGGTCGACTACATGCTGTCTAATGGAATTGCAGAGCAGAGTGCTAGCTCGTGGAGCTCGCCCTGTCTTCTTGCAGTTAAACAGGACAAATCTGACCGTTTCTGTACAGATTTTAGGAAGGTCAACAGTGTGACTAAACCTGACTCTCACCCACTTCCACGGATGGAGGACTGTGTCGATAGGGTGGGATCAGCTGTTTTTGTTACAAAGCTTGACCTCCTAAAGGGCTACTGGCAGGTGCCGCTGACTCCGCGCGCTAAAGAGATTAGTGCGTTTGTTACACCGGATGCGTTTTTGCAGTATACAGTCATGCCCTTTGGGGTTCGCAACGCGCCCGCTTCGTTTCAGCGCCTGGTCAACCTTGTTTTGCGGGGGGTGCCGGGGTGTGAGGCGTACCTCGACAACATTGTGGTCCATTCAAGGTCATGGGACGAGCACATCTGTCAACTTAAGTTAGTTTTTGAAAAATTGGACAATGCAAATTTAACTATTAATCTAGCGAAATGTGAAGTAGCTAAGGCGACTGTGGTTTACCTTGGAAAGATTGTGGGTAGTGGCAAGGCAAGGCAAGGCAAGTTTATTTGTATAGCACAATTCATACACAAGGCAATTCAAAGTGCTGAACAGAACAAGAAAGCATTAAAATCATAAATAATCACAGTACATTAAAAAAAAAGATAAAAATATAAAATCCCTCAGTTGTATGCACAGCTAAACAGAACTGTTTTCAACCTTGTCTTAAACATTGTCAGAGAGGAGGCCTGTCTCACATCTTCAGGAAGACTGTTCCAGATTTTAGCAGCATGAATCTGAAAAGCAGCCTCCCCATGTTTAGTTCTGACTCTGGACACTAACAGGAGTCCAGTCCCTGTGCTCCTCAGAGTCCGGGCTGGTTCATATGGGACTAACATGTCACTAATATAGTTTGGTGCGAGGCCATGGAGAGATTTGTACACAAGCAGAGCTGTTTTAAAGTCTATTCTCTGAGCCACAGGAAGCCAGTGCAGGGACCTGAGGACTGGACTAATGTGGTCGTACTTCCTGGTTCTAGTCAGGACTCGAGCTGCTGCATTTTGAATGTACTGCAGCTGTTTTACAGCCTGTTTGGACAGACCTGTGAGCAGGCCATTGCAGTAGTCTAACCTACTGGAGACAAATGCATGGATAAGAATCTCCAAGTCTGCTTTAGACACTATGTTTTTGATCCTGGCAATGTTTTTTAGATGGTAAAAAGCTCCTGATGTTACTGATTTGATGTGGCTATTAAAATTTAAGTCTGAGTCCAGTATTACCCCTAGATTTCTGACCTTGTTTGAAGGTTTTAGGGAGAGAGACTGTAGGTGACAGATGACGCTCTCTCTTTGTTTCTGGGGACCAAAGACAATCATTTCAGTTTGGTCTGCGTTTAGCTGAAGGAAGTTGTTTTGCATCCACTCACTGATCTGTTGGATACAGTGAAGGAGTGAGTCCACTGGTCCATGTTCTCCTGCAGTCAGTGAGACATAGATCTGAGTGTCGTCTGCATAGTTGTGATAGGACACTTTGTTTCTGCGTATTAACTGACCTAACGGCAGCATGTAGAGATTGAACAGAAGAGGTCCCAGGATCGACCCCTGTGGTACTCCACAGGTCAGGGCCATAACTTCAGAGAACATTCATATTTTTAAGAGTAGGCTCAAGACGCACCTTTTTAGAGTAGCTTTTGATTAGTATTTATTATTTATTATTGCTTTTTAGTACATCTATTTATGTTTTTTAGACACATTCTATGTTTATTTATTTTTAATTATTTTTCTTTTTATTGTTCTACTTTCTATTGTATTATTGTATTGTTTTAGTGTCCCCAGTGTTTCCTCTGGAGGAGCCCTCTGCACTGAGAGCTGGGGTCTGCTGCGGCTTCGGGGGTCTGGCTCTTGGATCCAGTGGGGGTCTGGGGCCTCCTCTCTCCCCTGGGTCCTATGGGGTCTGAGTCCTGGGCCTGGTGGGGTCTGGGGCCCCTCTCTCCTCTGGGTCCTGTGTCGTTCCCTGTGGCTGCAGCCGGCTCTCTGCTCCTGGTGCAGATGGCTCCTTGGATGACGCTTCTTCAGCCGGTTACATCTGCTCCCAGCCCCATTTCCTTTTATTGTTTTACCTATTTTACTTGATATGACTTTATACTTGTGTGTGTGTGTATGTGTGTGTGTGTGGGTGTATATGTGTGTGTGTGTATACGCATGTGGTTGTATATATAATTATAAATGTGGTTTTGGGGGGATCTGTGGGGAGGAGGGTTTAGGGCTGGGCATGTTGGATTGTTTTTAACTAAACTGTAAAGCACTTTGTGTTACACTTTTTGTATGAAAAGCGCTTTATAAATAAAATTTGATTGATTTGATTGATATGATCTGAGACACAGTCTCCAATCTCCACAAAGTACTTCCTGTCTTCAAGGTAAGACCTAAACCAACTTAGGGCGGTGCCAGCGACTCCAACCCAGTCCTCTAGTCTCTGTAAGAGGATCTCATGGTCGACTGTGTCAAAGGCAGCACTCAGATCTAACAAGATTAAGATTGAGACTTTGCCTGCGTCAGTGTTCAGCCGGATATCGTTTGTAACCTTGACAAGAGCAGTCTCAGTGCTGTGGTGGGGTCTAAAGCCGGACTGAAACATATAAAATGAGTTGTTAATTATAAGAAATCTAGTAAGCTGTAGGTAGACAACTTTTTCAAGGACTTTCCCCATAAATGGCAGATTTGAGATTGGACGATAGTTGTTAAGTACCGTAGCATCTAGGCTGCTCTTTTTTAGCAGGGGCCTGATGACTGCAGTTTTCAGGGCCTTTGGGAATATTCCAGAATGAAGGGACATGTTTACTATCTGTGTGAGTGAAGGTAACAGACTGCTCAGAACAGACTTCAGAAATCTAGTGGGTAGTACATCCAGGCTGCATGTGGAGGAGCTCAAACTGGAGATTATTTCTTGGACATTATTATCATCTACAGGTGCAAAGTAAGTTAGCTCAGAGAGCCTTTCTGGCTGTTGGATGGTTATCTGTGGATTGGAGACAATGGCGTTTTTGATGCCTTGAACCTTGTCATTGAAAAAGTGTGCAAACTCATCGCATTTACGTTTGGAAGTTAGCTCCAATGGCATCTGAACAGGGGGGTTTGTTAATCTATTAACTGTTGAAAACAGAACACGCAGATTGTTACTGCAGCCTTCAATCATTTCAGAAAAATACCTTTCTCTCGTACTACGTAGCACCCGGTTAAACTCGCATAACTTATCTTTGAAGATCTTGTAATCAACCTGGAGGTTGGACTTGCGCCACTTCCGCTCGGCCCTCCGGCACTTTCTCTTTTGTGCCCTGACCGAGTCTGCTTTAGCCCACGGCGCCTTCTGCTTATTTTTCACTATTTTAACCTTCACAGGGGCAACGGTATCCAGAACATTCAAAACACTAGAGGTGACAGAGTTAAACAGTTCATCTACAGTAGAATACGATGCATTTTCAAAGTTTATCATTCCCATAAATAGTTCACTCGTATTTTCATGTATGTGTCTTCTTCGAACAGTTGCAGAGTCCACTGGTGGTTTGTTAGTGAAACACATGTCAAAAAATACACAGAAATGATCCGAAAGAGCAACATCGACCACGCTTATATTTGAAATATTCACCCCCTTTGTAACTAACAAGTCTAGAGTGTGCCCTCTGCTGTGGGTGGGGCCACTCACATGCTGAGTGAGACCAAAGGTATCAAGTAAAGAACTCAGCTCTTTTGCATTTCTGTCATCAACATTATCCACATGAATATTAAAATCACCTGTAATAACTAAACTATCAAAATCTGTGCATACAACTGAAAGCAACTCGGTAAAATTATCAATAAAACTGTGACATGACTGCGGTGGCTTGTATAGGACTATGAAGAGTATTGGAGGAGATTGTTTTTGTTGTATTTTAAAAGACACATATTCAAAAGACGGAAACTTCCCAAGAGACATTCTATGGGAGACAAAGTGGTCTCTGAAAATGGCAGCTAAGCCTCCTCCTTTTTTGTTTTCCCGTATTTCAGATTCAAATTTGAAATTTGGTGGTGATGCTTCTATTAAAACTGCATTTTCTGTATTTTGGTCAAGCCAAGTTTCAGCCATGAACATAAGATCAAGATTATAAGAACAAATAAAATTATTGATTAAAAAAGACGTGTTAGAAAGAGATCTGACATTTAGCATAGCAAGTTTCAAAGTTTCAGTATCAGCGGTTGTGGTCGGCTGATTCTTACACGGAACAAGAATTAGATTTTCCAGATTAGACTGATTAACTCCAGATGTCTTTCTGTAATGTATTCTTTGTGTTATCACTAAGGGAATGGCACAGGTGGCTTCATGACAGGGCCCCAGCCGGGTCTCTCCTCTAACTAGACTGCCAGTGGCTGCGAAGCAGAGACCCTGTGCATCCTAGGGAGAGGAGGGAGGAGGATGGAGAGGTGGTTCTTGGGTGTTGGACGAGGGGGGGTTGGAGGTGGATGGGTGTTAGGGGAGGGGCAGGAGTTGGGGAGATGGACGAGGGGGGAGTGGAGGTGGAGGGGTTCTTGGTGATGGGAAACGAGGGGGGGGTGGGGGTGGGGCTGGAATGGTTTTGGGGTTAGGGGAGGGACCTGTGGATTTTGCGGGTGAATTCGAGTTAGAATTTGAGGGACGGGTGGATTTTGTGGGAGAATTTGAGTTGGACGCCCTAGG